CCTCATATTTCTCAGCTATAGTGCTGGTTGGCTCTAACTACCAACTTTGTGGTTAACAGATGAGTGATTTTTCTTGGTACCACCAGTGTTTTGAATATACAAATACATTAGTTTATAAATTTAAAAAAATTTTTTTTCTTTCTGTCCAAAAAGTAGATGAATTATAATTTTGGTAGAAAATTGAATAGAACTTTACTTTAAAGTATGGTTACTTTTAGACAATTAAAATTGGGAAGGAGTGAGAATAGCTAAGTAAATTGGATATAAACAAGGTTTAAAATTTAGAATACAGATGAAGAAAATGAAAATAATGTTTTAGAAAATAATTTGTAACCATTCTTATATCTTTATGTTGAGTAGCAACATTAAACATCAAAAAGCATATATTTGTGTACTTATACATACCTATACACCTGCCTGTCTATCTCCCTGTCATCTCTATGTCTATCCATTCGTCCATTAGAGTTTTAAGTGTACATAAAATGAACACATAAATTTCAAACTAGATACCTCAAAGCTGATGAAATTTACAGGGAAAGGATTAGGGAAGCAGAGAAGTTAAAAGAAGGAACTCTGAAACAAGATATTGAATTAATTCCAAACAACAATCTGAAAACCTCAGAAAATATGGGCTAAATTTCACCTGGTAATCCATTATGCTACCAGAGCTACTGTAAGAGAAAGGAACTTAACATAAAATATAGAAGGGTTTACATGTAAGACAAATATGTTAAAATAAATTTAAATATTTATCACTTTAACAGATAGACAAAAATTGCAGAGAAAAATGAAAGTAAACTGTAAAATAGAATAAAGAGTTCATGGGTTTTCCTTCACTTCATATAACATAAATTATGATTCAGTTATCATATCCACAGGGCCCATATTTATGCAAATCTGATGGCACTAAAGTATCATGGTAAAAAGTCTGTTTATATGCATGATAAATTATACACATGATAAATTTAGACACAGAAAAAGAAAACTTAATAAAAAAGAGTACGTATGAACAATGCATGATTTTATTTTTCATGGATGTGTAGCATTTATTATTAAAGATCTTACATTATTTGGTTACCATGTGTTAAACATTATATATAGAAACACATA